CATCTAAGAATGGACCTTATGGTCATCTTTGTCCTATAGCCTCTCTAAGAAATAAAATTGTTTCTGAAAACACATTTCCTGGAGATTTAAAGACTAATGTTGTGAGGAGAGATCTGTGAGCTGTTTGAGAAGAGCCGTGGCCCGTAAGCCTAGTCATCAGTAGCTAATGTTGGCAACTACAGGGCGATGAAGAGCTCTGGCTGCCCCTCCAATCTCCTGCTGCTCTCAGAAGGTCTGTGGACATGGCTGCTCCTCTGACCTCCTGCTCCTCTAAGAAGGTCTGTGGACATGGCTGCCCCTCTGATCCCCTGCTGCTTTAAGAAGGTCTGTGGACATGGCTGCCCCTCTGACCTCCTGCTACTTTAAGAAGGTCTGTGGACATGGCTGCCCCTCCGATCTCCTGCTGCTTTAAGAAGGTCTGTGGACATGGCTGCTCCTCTGGTCTCCTGCTGCTCTAAGAAGGTCTGTGGACATGGCTGCTCCTCTGACCTCCTGCTCCTCTAAGAAGGTCTGTGGACATGGCTGCTCCTCTGACCTCCTGCTCCTCTAAGAAGGTCTGTGGACATGGCTGCCCCTCTGATCCCCTGCTGCTTTAAGAAGGTCTGTGGACATGGCTGCCCCTCTGACCTCCTGCTGCTCTAAGAAGGTCTGTGGACAGAGGGTGAAGCGCTCTGGCCTTGTCACCTAGCATGGCTCATCCCTGTTGCTTCGTTTCCTCAAGATTCAATCACTATAGTAACAGGCTGGATGGAAAGATAGCTTTGGCATCGATTTTGGTCGAACACGCACCACCATTCAAATGTCAGCCCAATGCTTCTCCTTTGGTGGGACAGTGCTGTTCACCAGAAAGGCAGCTAAGTATTTCCTGTTTCCTAGCCTAGCTAAGGAAAGAGCTCACCTACAGGTGCATCTGCCTACATAAAGCTACAACGTGCTAAGATGTGCTGATGGCGAGTAAAATAAAAACATTAAAACATTACTGAACTAATTATGCAGTTTTGTAGAGGGGTCCCATTCCACACTCTCTGATTTTTCTTCCTTCTGACCCTTGAAGTTTTTGTGGTAAATAGAAGAAAAGTGCCGTCACGTTCCATGAAGGGGGAGGACCCCCCCAACCCCGAACAACGGCACCAGACTTGGTTCTTAACTGGAACTGCTTTCCACAGAAGTTGTTCAACCTCGATGCACCAATACCTGGAAGGTAACCGCAAGGGCTCTTTCTGACTGTGCAGGAGGGTAGGCGCCACCCTGACACTCACCATAATAAAAATGCCACTCTCCTAATCCCAGGGCAGCTGCCTTCCTTATATGGAGCGTGCGTGGAGGGGACAGAGATCTCCCCTCTGACCCGAGATTAAATTGCTCATTACACATTCTGCACATTGCCCAGGTGAAAGCCCTAAAAAAAAACCAAAGTTCACACCTGGCATACAAGGAAACGTAAGCAAATTCCCTGTACTCAGTGTCCATAGGGAAGTGATGTCACCTGCGCTCAGCAGTATCCTTGGCACGTTCCCCCATTACCCTGATGTGTTTCTGCTTGAGTTCTCTTACAAGGACTAGCCCCTAACTGTTCCATTTCTGCCCTACGTTTGTATTTTGTTCCTTTAAAAGGCCTTTTACACATCACCCTAACCTGAATGTCTGTTGGTTTCCTGCTAAGAGGGCTGCTCCTAAAAAGGCAGAGTTCAACGTGTGACCCAGATCTCTTTGTATTCCATTTAAGGAGCTGTCTGGTTGATCACACATCCATTGGTACTATGGCATGACCTCATTGGCATAAGCATGTGCAATTTCACTGAACTGTTTCCACCCCCTCTTGTGGAAGGGAGGTCAAAGGTGACATCAAAGCCAAAGCCAAAGCCACAAGATACCACACCTGGGCCAGAGCTGGAGGACTGGCGGGAGGCTGTTTGCTATGTTTCAACATCACTCTGCCCTAGACCTGTTCCCTCTTTCTCAATAAAAACACTACCTAAAGCACACGACCATTTTCCTGTTTCTACAATGAGAGACCTTTTGGAAGGTGGCTATGGGTCAGCACTCAGGGACAGGCAATGTTTAGCTGCTTCAGAGAGTGGTAGGGTGTTACGTGTAGCATCTGCTGGAACTACACTTCTTTGCTCTGGAAACTAATGTTGACAGAGGTCGAGCAAATGTGTTCTACCCGAGATGTGCACAGTCTAACTGCGATGGCTAATCTGTATCACCCATTTGGCTGTAGTTAGAATTACATCACTGAGCACATCTATAAGGGCTTCTCCAGAGAGGTTTAATTCAGGAGGGAAGACATGTTCTGAATGTAGGAGTCATTAATTCATGGCTGTGGTCCTGGCCTAAAGAACAAGGAGGCCATGAGCTGAGCATTGGCAGTTACCTCTGCTTCGTGACTGTAGACACAACATGACCTACTTCACGTTCCCAGTGCCATGACGGCCCCCATCATGATGGGCTATAATGCCCTCTCCACCTGTGACCCCGGATAGAGGTCTTGTCGAAGCACCGAGAAAGTTATTAGTGTCCAAAGCATTGTCATTTTGTCCGTGGTGTGTCCTGGCACCATCCTGGCCAGGCTCTAGAACTGGGTGACTCCTAGAGTGAACCTTATTCACTCCAAGTGCTTGTTGCTTAGCTACCCTCCCAGCTTCTACAGGTTTTGTGTGGAGGGTAAAGACTGAGGTGGAGTACAGACTCCAGGAAGGCTGTAGCTCAGCCCTAGCTGTGGGTTAGGGCACGATGCTCTCATCAACTGTTGACAGACTCCGAAAACAGCTTCACCTGTGAGGTGAGGGTGAGGGTAGGGTCAAGGATCAAATCTTTCCTGGATGGGTGGGCAGTGGTGGCACACACCTTTGATCCCAGTACTTGGGAGGCAGAGACAGGTGGATCTCTGTGAGTTCAGGGAACTCACATAGCAACATAGACCGGCCCGCTCTACAAAGTGAGTTCCAGGAGGGCCAGAGCTGTTACACAGAGAAACTCTGTCTGGAAAAACAAACAAAAACAAACCTTTCCTGGATAAGCTATCATCCAAACCCTAGTTTCCTTTCTTAGATTTTTATTTATGTTTTTATAATTTACTTATTTTAATTTTATATGCATTGGTGTTTTGACTGCACGTATGTCTGTGTGAGGGTCTCAGATCTTGGAGTTATAGACCGGTGTGAGCTGCTATGGGAGTGCTGGGAACTGAACCCGGGTCCTCTCAAATGGAATAGCAGTCAGTGCTCTTAACCGCTGAGCCATCTCTCCAGCCCCAGACTTTTATTTTTAATTGTGTGTGTGTGTGTGTGTGTGTGTGTGTGTGTGTGTGTGTGTGTCTGTTTGAGGGTATGCTCATACAAGTGCAGGTGCCCGCAGAGGACTCTGGATCCCTGGAGCTGTAGTGACAGGTAATTAATTGTTTACTGTCTGAAGTGGGTTCTGGGAATTGAACTTGGATTCTTTGTTACAGCAAAGTGCGCTCTTAACCAATGTGCTCTCTCTCCAGCTCCTTTTCCATTACTTGTTCGTTTTCTTTACATGTGAGTTGAAAACTCAGACATTGGAACAGAGTTTATGGACTTAAAAAGAGGCAAGTATGAGCCAGACATCACAGTGCACACCTGAAATCCTGGCACTCCGGAGACTAAGGCAGAAGGGATTGAGTTAGGACAGCCTAGGGAAACTTGGTCTTAACTTCAACAACAAAATTAAAAAGATGAGAATGAGACAAGAAAGGACCGCTCTCACACCGGCTTCCCCTGGAGGCAGAGCTTTCTCCCCCGGAGTCTGTCAGCCTGCTGCTGAGTTTCCCTCCATGACAGGCTAATAGGTGGCAACACAGGAAGACATGTCACTTGTAATAGTAGGAACCGCAACAAGCTGTGATGCCTTCTTAGAAACGCCCTTTCAAAGTACGTTGGCTTTAATGGCTCGATTGCCCTTCAGTCAAAGGAGGAACATCTGTACAAAGTATGTTATTTACTTTCTCTAGATTTAAATATAGCTGAGTATTCTTTGTGCACTTTTCTTTTAGCAAGGCGAGATCGTATCTGGAAATACTCATCTTCCTTTTTGCTTTTTGCCTCTGCTTCTTATCACATGACGGGGCTCTCACTATGGACAGAGTAGCCACACTACATGAGAAGAAGTAGACTCCTTAGAGAAATGAAAAGCAACTGGGAAGGGTTAATGTCTCATTCCTTAAGCTTCCAGCCAGGAACAGGTCAACAGGAGGAAGCAAGCCAGCACCCAGCAGGCCTGGCTTTCTCCATACATGGGCACTCCCGGGGCCACTTCCTTATTGCACCCTGCTTGTTCTCTGCAGTCCTGAACTTTGGCATTTCCATTAAGTCCCCTCCCAGTAACTGAGGCTTAGGGCCTCTCCCTGTGCTCAGGTGGAACTGGGACGTTCAGAAGCCTGTCCTGATACCAAGAGACACTTATCTGGAGTTCAGCTGGAGAAAATCCAACTTTCTTTCTCCTCCTATTTCTTTGTCTTTTAACATCAGGGGGATGCTCACAGATAATCCTCACATTCAGGTGGAACCAACATATTGTATCAGTCTGCCCATTTCAAGGTGACCTGTTAAGAGACCCTGAGTTATGTTCTCACTGTTCTGCCATTTCCTCTTCGATGGTCAGAGAACAAAGTATATTGTGATGTCAGTGCCCTGAGCAGATCCAGTCATATGCATTTTCTCTCCTTAAACAGGAGTAAATATGGTTTGTTAAAATCATGTGGGAATAAAAAGCAAGAAAGGGAAGACATCTCATAGCTAAATCTCAGCAGATAAACCTACTTCCTCATGGCTAGAGGGAACTGCCAGTCAGTAGCTAATCAGATATGCAAATTGCTTTAGATGCATTAAGTACAAAAATTAGGCAGTCAACAATGGCAACTGTCATTTCGTGCTCCTAGTGTTGAGTGTGCTGTGTCAGAAACAAAGATCCTCCGTCTTTCAACAATGTTAGAGTTTATTGGATAACAATAAATTCACAAGGTACAGCAGTTTGGATGGCATCAATGTCTACTTAATCCTGCTTTCCTGGGTCATCTGGCTTTCAGCACTGACCCGTGTTCTTTCATTCCACTCCTCACGTTAACTCTCATATCACATATCACACAGCAAATGTATCTGTATGTGTGTGGGGTGGGGTGGGGGTGGCTTATACAATGTGTGCAAAACGTGAAGAAGGTTCCTGTAAGTTCCACCTGGTTTCAGATGTAGGCTGACTAGTCTGTTTTGATAAGAAAATAATCCACACCAGCTGCGGTGAAGAAGCTGCTCCTGTGGAGTCAGGCTGCGCCTGAAGCACAGCTGTGCAGTTTACTTCAGCTGCAGAGATCAAAGGGAAGGACCTGGACCAAATGAATGTACAGTGAGGAGGAGGAGGAGGATGGATGAATGGACAGATGGATGAACAAATGGATAGACAGACGATGATGGATGGACAGATGGATGATGGATGGATGGACAGATGGATGATGGATGGATGGACAGATGGATAGACAGATAGATGGATGGACAGATGGATGAATGATGGACAGATGGATGAATGGATGGGTGGATGAACAAATGGATAGACAGACGGATAGACAGACGATGATGGATGGACAGATGGATAGACGGATGGATGGATGGACAGATGGATGATGGATGGATGGACAGATGGATAGACAGATGGATGGATGGATGGACAGATGGATGAATGATAGACAGATGGATGAAAGGATGGATGGATAGATGGGAGGTCCAGAGAGGAAAATAGAAAGGCAGATAGTACTTCAATAGGCCACATCAGTAGCAGGGACCAAGAACAGCTAACTTTCTAGAGACACTCAAGACAGTCATGAGTTGCCCTGGATGGTCAGAAGACAGGTCGGGGCCATCACTATCATAGTGTTGGGTATCCACCTCTTTATGAGGTCCAGGTGAGGGAGTCATACCATTTCTTCCATCTGATGTGTCCCACAAGTTCCTGGGCCTAATTTCCCGGATACAACTTTAATATGCCCATGTAGTCTTACTGCCTCAATTCACCCTGATAAATTCATAGAGTAGAACCTACTTGACTCTTTTTTTTTTTTTTTTTATGGTTTTTTGAGACAGGGTTTCTCTGTGTAGCTTTGCGCCTTTCCTAGAACTCACTTTGTAGACCAGGCTGGCCTCGAACTCACAGAGATCCGCCTGCCTCTACTTCCTGAGTGCTGGGATTAAAGGCGTGCACCACCAATGCCCGGCCCTACTTGACTCTTAAAAAAAAAGTCATTTATCAGTTTCTGCTGCCTGGGTGGTCCTGGACAGACGCTGTTGTTTACCTGTGTGCTCAGGTACATACTTAGTTTCCATCCTTAAAATGGAGTCTCTCAGGGCAGGGTACGACCTGAAAAAAAAAAACAGTTTTTTATATAAGACAGGGTAACCTGGAGCAGGGTACAGCCTGTGCTCTCAAGAGGTCCTTTGAATGGAAGCTGAAGTTGGTCTAAGTAGCTTCCTGACCTACCGGCAAAGCTCAGTTCCCTGGGTTCTCCAAGTTGGCTTGCTTTAAAGTTTTTCTGTGATAGCTAAGAAACATGCAGATGTATTTGGGCCCCTGGCCTAGTGTTGCTTTAGTTTAGGAGAGTGGAAAAGTTCTAGAATATTCTAGCAGAGAACTCACAAAGCTACGCTTGATATTTGTCTTTCTCTAGCCCTACATGCTGGACCTTCACTAGTAATGCCTTCACTGCTGGACTGTATCACTTATATGCCCTGGGTTCTACATTTGGGGCAAAAATAAAGAGACAAAATGGTTGACTTCTTGTTGTTCTTTGTTTTACTTGTGCACCAGAGGTGGATCAAAATACTTAGACAGCGGGCTCTGTGTACCAGAGGTGGAGGGTTGGTTACCAGGCTGGCAGTGCCTCCCTCCGTGCCATTGGCCATGAAAAATGAACTTGGGTCCTATATGCACTGAAGGAAGTTCTGGCCTCATTAAAACAAAACAAGACAAAAAAAACCAAAACAAAACAAAACAAAAAAAACCCCCGCAATAACTTTAGCCACAAAGCCCAACCGAGGGTGCCAAGTAACTATGTAACGGGAGCAGGCTCTTGTACTCTAGGATCAGTGGCCACAGAGAAGAACCCGTCTGGTCTGGCGTATGAAGGAAGAAAGCCACATTGAAGTGCAGACTCCAGCTCTGAGCAGCCTGCTGTCCCTGAACTCACGTACTCCACTAAGCCAGGAGCTTTATTTGCCACAAGGCTGTGCCAATGGTCCCTTTCAGTTCAAAGGAGTCTGCTCCTTAGTTTACTGTTTGTATCTCAAGGCAACACAGTAACAAGATGAGTACATCGCCATGGAAACAATTGTAAACACACAAGTGAACACTGATACCATGTTTTTTTTTTTTTTTTGGTTTTTCGAGACAGGGTTTCTCCGTGTAGCTTTGCGCCTTTCCTGGAACTCACTTGGTAGTCCAGGCTGGCCTCGAACTCACAGAGATCCGCCTGGCTCTGCCTCCCGAGTGCTGGGATTAAAGGCGTGCGCCACCACCGCCCGGCTGATACCATGTTTGATGTGACCTTGAAATCCAGATGTGATCCTGGCATGTCAGGAACAGGTGTGTTGTTTAGATGGGGTTTCAAGTTGGTGTCATTAGCTAAACATGCCTCAAGAATCCCAATATGGGGCTCATGGAACGTGAGTCCCTATCCCATGTCAAGGGGTCAGGGTCATGTGGGTGGTTTATTTTTTGCCACAGCATTAATGTAATATGGAAAGATGTAGCCTTTGCATGTTGAGTAAAGACTCCATTGAATATGCTATGCTCTGAGTTCCAGAGAGGAAACACAAAACAAGGCTATTTCCTGAGTCCAGAAGGTACAACCCCACCGGCAAGGATGTGCCCCTGCCTGTGTGCAAGAAAAAAAGGCCAAGAAAGTCCATGCAAAGTCACCCTCAGGACACACAGGTCCTTAGCTTACAACCACACTAAGGCCCAGGAGGCATGAGCACCAAGGTACCTGTGCCCAGCAATACCCACCTTGTCACCATGACCCTGACACCTGAGTGTTAGGTGCCCTTTTTCCAGGAGGGAAGATTTCAATTCAGAGGAAATAGCTAGCTATAGAATATATTCAACATACTTAAAAAAATAGTTTTTTAATTTCCCTCTCTCCCTCTCTCTCTCCTCTCCTCTCCTCTCCTCTTCTCTTCTCTTCTCTTCTCTCTCTCTCTCTCTCTCTCTCTCTCTCTCTCTCTCTCTCTCTCTCGTGTGTGTGTGTGTGTGTGTGTGTGTGTGTGTGTGTGTGAATATGGGCATGTGCGAGCCAAGGTGTACAAAGAACAACTTTTGGGAGCCCGTGCTCTCTCCCCGCATCAATCCCAGGAGTCCAGAATTGAACGCAGGGTATCAGGCTTTCAGAGCAAGCTCTGTTACCAGCTGAGCCGTCTCACTGGCTCTAAACTAAGTTTTAAACAGACCTCATTAGCTAATTTTGCTTGATCATAGGTTTATACATGATCTGAGACTGTTTATGATAGGCTAGGTGTAATGTAACCTATACTGCTGTAGGGTGTATTCCAAATACATTTTTGACTTAGTATTTTCACCTTGCCTGGCTTATCAGGATAAACCCCATTGGAAGTCGAGCAGCTATATTTTATTGTCTCAGTTCTGGTAGTATCTTGGCTTGGTAACATCAACAAAAACTCCATACAGTCTGAATTACGGTTATCCTTTCCTTGCAAAGTTCTATAAACAAAAACACAGAGCCACTGGGCATGGTTTAGAAGTGAGAGGCAGGTGCCTAAATTAGGTGTGTGGACGGAATAATGCCGACTTCCACCCGTTAATTGGTCTATTATTTTAAAAAGTGTGTAATGAAAAAACACTATGAGAATAAGCACATCAGAAGTGATTTACATAAATATTTTCCAAATATGAATACCTACATCATTCAAAAGCGTGAAAGACTAAACTGAACCAGACACTTTGAAATGTTTTGCACTTGTTTACTCGGGTAAGAACCATTCCTAGCTCGCTTTGCTACTCAAGCAAGCCCTGGTTGAGGAGCGCTGGCTTGCAGCCCCTCTAATCTGCAGTGGTCCAGTTTGCTCTCTTCTTCCTACAGACCCCACACTACCTATTTGGAAAACATTCCGCCCGTTGGTTAGTACTGCTTTTCTAGGGTTTTTTCAGCTTTCTAGGAATTGAAAGCTATTCTAGGCGGCAGGTCAGCAAGACCTTCTTTGAGCCCCAGGGCTACATGCGGGAAGACACTGGCGTGTATTGGAGCAGCCCAAACCGGGCCTTTGCATCCACAGCTGCCCAGCTAGCAAGGCTGGAAAATGGGACAGTGAGGTGAGGGGTGTGAGTGTATACCAGCGGGTGTCCTTGCTCGCAGCAGCCCGGCGCCGGGGCGGTCTGTAGGTCCGGAGCGGCCGTCCTGAGACTGTGGCTAACCAAATGGTTTCCGCCAGACGACCGGGACAACGCCAGCAAGGCGAGTCAAAGGGTACCACAATGGGCCCGCAAGCGGCTAGGATGGGTGGGTGGGGCTTGCGCTCACTGCGCACGCGCGCACCGAGGCCTCCAAGCTCGGGTAGCAACACAACCGTCACGTGGCTCCGCACCGGCCAATCAACGGGACCCCGGGGCGGGGCGTCCAGCGGTGCACCTCGGCGGGAGGCGGACGACTTCCGGCAATAATTGGACGCTGCAGCTCGGTGCGGTTCGTAGCTGTCTCGTCTGAAAGGGAGCCGCAGGTGAGGAGGGACGCGGGATGGGGAGGGGCTGTCAGGCAGGGCGTCCCCGGGCCACCCTTCGCTGGCCGCCGTGCTGCCCGCTGGCCCCGAGCGGGCTCTGGGCTCGCCCACCTCCCGGGGGTCCGGGCGTCCGCCCCCCACCCCCGCCGGCCTGCCCCCCACCCCCGCCGGCCTGCCTTTTGCCGGTCCACGCCTCCTCCCGAGCACACCTGTCAGGGCACCATCCCTGAGGCCTGCGCGCGCTTTGGCCGCTAGACGCAGGACGGTTTGCATCTGTATCCTCACAGCTGATTTCTGCCTCTGTTCCAGTGGAGTTCCATCTCCATCCTTGGGCCTATTCAAACTCCCCTGAACTCAAGCATCTGGAGAACTGTCCCTATGAAGGGCCTTTTCCCCCCTGCATGCATTTTCCTTCGCTCGGGGGCGTGCTGTCTTCCTTCGACTCATCTGTGATGATCTCTCCGGATTCCTTGGAGTAAACCCCATTTCTGACATTCACCCTGAAATATGCAGTTTGCTTTTTCAGGATCTTTCACAGTCACATTTACCCACATTTACAGACTTCACATTTGATCCAAGTTGTTTGAATTTAACTTACTTAAAAATTTTGTAAGAAAACTTGATCAGCGGTAAAATCAAATGCTTATTAGGTGAAGGCTATTCATTATTTTTTAAAAGGGTTTTATTATTGTTAATTTTGTGTGTGGCGTGCGCACTAGTGCCCAAGAAGAACAGAGGGCGTCAGATACTGTTGAACTGGAGTTACAGACAGTTCAGAGCTGCCTGATTTGAGTGCTGGGAACCAAACTTGGGGTCCTCTGCAAGGGCAGTTAGTGTGTGCTGCTAGCTGCTGATCCATCTCTCTATTCCCAGACCATCCATTCATTCTTACCACAGAACAATGGAAGTTATCTTTCTCAAAATTTAAAATGAAAAAGAAGAGTGAAGCTTTTTCCTCCAGAATTTAGCTTGCCTTTCTGTTTTTGTTACAACTTGTTTTATTGTAATGCGCTTGCCATACACTCGAAGCTTTTATTGTTTTGTTTGTTTTTGTTTTTCTTCTTTTGTTTTTTTTTGAGACAGGGTTTCTCTGTGTAGCTTTGCGCCTTTCCTGGAACTGGCTCTGTAGACCAGGCTGGCCTTGAACTCACTGAGATCTGCCTGCCTCTGCCTCCTGAGTGCTGGGATTAAAGGCGTGTTAAACATAACTGATGTAGGTTCTAATTATTTTTTCATGTAATTTACAAATAGAGCACCACATATATATGTAGAAAAAGACAACAACAACAAACACCCAAACCTGTAATTTCCTGGAATCTCTTTTCATAGGCTGTTAGGATTGCTATAAATATAGTGGCTAAAAGCATGGATTGTGGAATCAGGGTCCATAATTTTGAATCCCATCCTATTGAATTCTTTGCTTCTGTACTCTCATGTATAAAATAGAGAGTTTTTGTGGGGATATGGTGGGTGGACACAGGGCCTCAGGTATGCTAAGCAAGTAAGTGCTCCCGCACTTAGCCTTGAAATAGAGAATTAAATTTGTAAAATGAGGGTAGTTCCTACTTTACAGGTTAGTGTGAGGGACTAAACTAGGTGTAATTCACGTGAGTCGTTCACAGTGCCCGGCTTGTTCTGAGTTCTATTGTTACTGTTTTCATTCAGTAGGAGAAAATGTGTTTGTTGAAGGAGAAGGGGGAAAAAAAGCTTATTTTTTCCTTAGTTCAGGCTCTTTGGCTTTAGGAGTTTTTACTAGGAAGTGAATTTAACGAATTCATCTTGTTCTCCTGCTGTACCCCACCTTCGTGTCTTGCTGTGTGATATAGAAACCCAGAAAAGATGTAAAGGTGTTGAATCCCAAGTGTGTTCTGGTGTTAGTTAGCAATTACTCTGCTTAAATTTTTGTGCAGATAGGGGCTGGCTGGCTGGATCAGCAGTCTAGAGCGCTTGCTGCTCCTGCCGAGGACTAGGTTCCGTTCCCAGCACCCACGTGCTGGCACCCAACTGTATCTAACTCCAGTTACAAGAGGATATGATGCCTTTGTCTGGGTGCTGCGTGACCACGGTGCACTTACAGCCATGCAAACAAAACACTCATATCCACGTAAAATAAAATTAAATATATTAAAAATAAGCGCAGATTATACAAGCTGTGACTCAGCCGAGCAGACTTGGAGACGTCACGCATACACATATTAATTTTTCAGAAATAGTTTATGGTTTTTACTTTACATGATAGCTAATCTTGGTTGTCGGCCCGACACACCTAAGAAGAGGGAGCCTCAGTTGAGGATCAATTCCATGAGGTTGGTCTCTGGGGCATGTCTGTTGGCTGTGTTCTTAATCGCTAATAGTTGTAGAATGGCCCTGTGTTCTGTGGGTTGTACAGCCCTAGGTGGTAGGTGGGACTGGGCTGTATGAAAAGAGCTGTCTTAGCAAGGCACAAGGTGCAAAGCCGGTAAGTGGTATTCTTGTGTGGTTTCTGCTTGAGTTCCTACCCAGACATCCCCGGAGGGTGGACTATAACCTGTGAAGTGAAATAAACCCTTTCCTGTGTCAACCTTTTAGTCAGATTATTTTAACACAGCAACAGAAAAGAAAGTAGACAGCCTTAACATTTGCAAATTCTGAAAATAAAGCTAATTTTAATTTTAAATATATTAATGAAATTCTAGCAATTCATGTCTTTTAGCCAAGCAGATAAATTCCTGTAAAAAGGGGGTTGTTGTCATTTAAAATCTTTCAGTAACACTATTTTCTGATACACAAACAGGTGCTTCACATTGTATTAAAAACAGACTGGTCACCTTTTAAAGTGCAGCTTGCCTTCTGCTCTATGAGACAGGGTCTCACTCTGGAGACCAGGTTGGTCTTGAATTCTTGCCTCAGATACTAGGGTTACAGGTGGACAGGTATTTGCCACCCTACCTAGCCCCAGTGGCTTTTTTTTTTTTTTTAAGTAGTGCTTAGGATTGAACCCAGGGCCTTATGAACACTAGGCAAGCGCTATACTACTGACCTATAGCCCCGTATCCTAGTGGCCTTTGTTACTGTTTATTAATAAATTTGCTTCTAGAATCTGTGCCTTAGTTTATGAACTGTATAGCTTATGCTATAAAATAGTGAACTAATACCATGATCCCAAGATTGTGTCATGACAAGTCTATGAAATAAATCTTTAAACGAACAAATATTTTCCTCTAGGTTGAAAAATCTGGGACATAAGGGTTTGGTTTTTGTGGTTTACTAGCTACCAGGCCTTAAAAAAAAATCAATTTAGCTGTTGAAAGGGTTATACCAAACTATTTATCACCAAATTGTCCAGTCGATGAATTACAATATGTATTGAGTTGACAACAAAATGTAATTGGAAATGCCACGACGGCTCTTTTTATAATCGATGTAAGAGAAAAAGATGTGTTCTGAGTATAAACTAGTTTAGAAAGGTTTTATGACCCTTTTGGTGTAAAAAACAAAAGTTATTTTAGCATGCATTTCAAACACTAAGCCAGGAATCTACACGTTTTCCTTTTTGTTTGTCTCTTATTAGATGGTATAAATGCCCCTTTGATACTCTGGCATTGGTTGGTTATTTTAAATAGAGTTTGCGGTCCCCCAAGTACTCAAAGCCGTGGAACATGCACGTCATGACACACAGCAAGCCTGCCTTGCTTCCCTTGTTTTTTTCAGTGCTGGGAATGTTAAACCCAGGGCCTCAAGTATACCAGGTAAAGACCCAGCCCCTAAGCTACACCTTCCCAGTCTGCTCTGAATGGGAAAAGAGCATTCCTTTCTGATGTAAATGCTCTGCTGAAGTTCTGTGCAAAGGTCAGCTTCCTTCCTTTATATAAACAATACCCACCTTTCAACTCCTGTGTTTTATGGCTCTTAATATTTCCTCTATGTTTCTTTCTTAAAATGCATTTTTTATTCACTTCCCACCCGTCACTCCACGCTTTCACTCTTCCTCTAGATTCTTTCCATGGCCTGTCTTCATCCACTTGCCCATTTCCCGTCTGTGTTCTTTAGAGTTCTTCCTTTGGCCATCTTGATATGATATTATGTCCGTATCTTTTACTGCTCTGAATGCTGATAATTTTTCTCTCCAGTGTAGCTCTTTTCTGAGATATGGGTCTATATCGTCATCCATTCAGTCAATAGATAGATGTTTATTGAGCTCTGGCTTTATGCCTGACATCGCTCTGGGTAATGAGGATGTAACATTGCACAAGTCATTCTGTCATCTTGGAGGAGAACAAATGGTGAGTCCATAAATAATTTCAGATAATGGACAGTGGCAGAGGTCGTTGATGGTACACTGATGAATCGGGTAGAGATGTCAGAAGGGAGCTGTTTGCATGAAGCCTTTGTAGGGAGGTGACATCTTGAATATGGAAACATGACTATCTGGAACGGTTGTTAACATTCGCTGTGTCTGAGAATCACCTTTGGACCTTCAGAACACTCTGCCCAGCATCCCTTCCTCTGCCCCTCCCAAGCCTGCTCTTCTGCTGTGCGCCTCTAGCGTTCAGTGGGAAGAGTACTTGCTCTCCAGAAGACCAACATTTGGTTCCTGGCAGCACCTACGCGGCAGCATTTTGCCTTACTGCCTTGGTGTGGCCGTGGCTGTGGCTGTACCTCCAGTCCGCTGAAGGTCCACTGCCTTGTCTGAGCAAATCATTTGCCTCCTGGTTTTTTGGCTCCTGGTCGTTCTTAGGATGAAGCCCAGCTCCTTCCTTTCCTCATCTGGCCATCATGTCTTCCCCGTCTTTCCTGACCGTATCCCATTTGTATTCTTTGCCTTCACCCATAGTGATCTCTCCGGAGTGAGGTTCGACTGTGGTTCAGTTACGTTGCCTCACACTCCGGCACAGGGTGGAAGGTGGGGGAAGCTGTTAGAGTGGTATTCCTCAGCTCACTTGCTTCTTCAGATTCAAACTCCGGTGTCCTGGGGTAAGACTTTCACCACACGTTATTGCGTAGTAAGGCCCACCCAGTTATCACTTTATACGGCCAGAGTACTATATAGTTATCCCTGTTGGTTACCACAGCTAGCCAAGTTAAGTGATACACACTTACATGTTAAGTAAGACTTTGGTTCCATATGAGAAGAAATTTGGTTTTTATTTACTTGTTTTGCTTGGTTTTTTTTTTTTTTAGACAGTTTCTCTGCGTAGCCCTGGCTGTTCTAGAACTTGCCCTGTAGACCAGGCTGACCTTGAACTCACAGAGATCTGCCTGCCTGTGCCTCCCGAGTGCTGGGATTAAAGGCTTGCGACACTACCACCCAGTGAGAAGAAATGGGTGTTCATTATGCGTCTATATACTTTTAATGTAAACTAATTTTTTTTTTTTTTTTTTTTTTTTTACAGGAGAACTATGCCATTTCTGGGTCAGGACTGGAGATCCCCTGGGTGGAGCTGGATTAAAACTGAGGATGGATGGAAAAGGTGTGACTCCTGTAGCCAGGAGCTCAGGGGTGAGAATAGCCAGTGCACCATCAACCACAGCATGTGAGTCTCGGGTCACTCCGTCCTTTGCAGTTTTGCTCCTTTTTTTGGCCAGGCCTGCTGTCCAGACGGCTCTGGTGATGTGCCTGTCTCCACCCAACAGTCATGATTACAGGGGCATTCAGCCATACCCGGCTTTCACGTGGGTGCTGAGGATTTGAACTCAGATCTTCATGCTTGCATAGCAAGTATTCCTAGCCACTGAGCCATCGCTCCAGCACCAGGCTTGCATCGGAAACATACCTAAGTGCCTTGTCCCTAGTAAATATTAACTCCTTCCTTTCCCTCAGACTCTGATACCACTCTTGATGTTTTCTCTGTTTGTCCTTTTGTGACTAGATTATGTTTTATAATAATGTCCTCAGATCCCGGTGTGTTTAGCGTGTACTGGTAAAGTCCCTTTGTTTTGTAAGACTGAGTATTTGTTGTATGGATTGGTTATGTTTTGTTTATTTGTGCAGTTGTTGATAGACATGGGGAATGCCTAGACATGCCATGAGTGTAGGAGTGTGGACGTCTCTTAAAGACCCCACTTTCAGTTCTTTCTGTTTAGACAGTAATCTCAATATACAGGTTCTTAACCATGCTGTTCATGCTGGCTGCACCGTGTTCTGTTTCCACCACCAGTGCTTTAAGGTTCCATTTTCTACGTCCTCACCAACACTTACTGTCTGCACTTCTAGACAGTAGCCGTCTTGAAGAGTGTAAAGTTTATGGCAGTTTATCTTGTGTTTCCCTAGGAATTAATGATGTTGCACACATTTCATACATCTCTAGCCCATTTGCATTTCTTCCTTGGACAAATTAAAGTTCTCTGCCTGTCCTTTGGGGGGTTTATTGTTGAAGATTCTTTTTTTTTAAGTGGGATAAAGGCTGTTTATATTGATCATAAAAACCAAAGGCTGTAAAAATAGGAAGTGTTTGCTCTGAAATGTAGTTGACTGATAGTTTATATACATGAAAAACTGAAAAGTTTGTACAATATTAATACTTTTATTAAATTTGTCCAGGTTAAATTTTTAATCCTGGAAGCATTTTTTCCCTTCAGTTTTTCATTTTTATATACCTGGCAGCATAAAAACCATCACCAAAAAGTATGACCTCTTTCTACCTTAAAATATCCCATAAAAATAGCAACTAGTTAATAATTCGCTATTGCAAGATATTTAATTACACTGCGTAAAGATATGTCACTGTGGTTGGTTTAATAAAAGCCAAATGGCTAATAACTAGGCAGGACTTCTGGACCAAGATAACTCTGGGAAGAACAAAGGGGGAGTCCCCAGCCAGACGCAGAGGAAGTAGGACATGTAGAAGGAGAGGTAAAAGCCATGAGCCACGGGACAACACGTAGATTAGTAGAAATAGCTTAAGTTAGAAGAGCTAGTTAGAAGCAAGCCTAAGCTAAAGTCAAGCTTTCCTGATTAATTAGAAGTCTCTGTGTCATTAGTTGGGAACTGGCTGATGGGACAGAGAAAGACTCATTACATATGGTGCCCAACGTGGGGCTCACATATCCAGACAAAGGGCCTGAGAAAGCTAAGCAAAGTTCTGGAGAGGAGCTGGGTGTGGTTTCCTAGGCCTGCAGTCTCTCGGGCATTTTCCTTTGGTTGTGACCTGGGTCTCCAGGTGGCTCATTCCTAAGTCCCCTGATTCCCATCAAACCCTGGGCAGTTTAGGAAACACACGACAGTACCTAAGGAGGGCATTCTATCAGCAGAGTCAGCTGATGTAGGAGCTGCAGCCAGGTCTGGGATTGCTGTTTTCTCCCCGTAGGAGCATCTGACGGTGGAGTGTCAGATACGTCCATGAGTGTCTGTAAGCTATGCTCTGCCTCATACCTCCCATGGCTGGACTACAGGGAGACCCAGCTTATGAAGCTGGTTGGCCGTCCTTTTCTGTTGTCTCTCATTTCTGTGACACGGGAGAACAATAGTATTGTTTTTCCTTTGATAAGTTTGTGATTTTAGTTAAAGCTTTTTCAGGTTCAAAAGTATCCCTGTTTAGTGTCTGAGTCAATGATAACAGACCAAGATAAGAGTAATGTGAGGTTGTAAGAGTCAAGGACCCCTATGTTTCCAGAGGGTCTTTCCATGTCTGTGACAGTGCAGTTGTGAGATCTAGATGCTCTCTGGCTGCCTGGACAATCTGCTGTCATGTCTGTGCTGTTTAGTTGTGACAGCAGTGAGCAGACTTGATACGGTAAACTCAGTTGTTTTGTTAGAAGTGCATACTTATGGTGAATGAAAAGTAGCTTTTGTACAATTCTCATCAGATAACAGTGATGGGGGCCTGGAGAGATGGCTCAGTGGCTAAGAGCACTGACTATTCTTCTAGAGGACCCAGGTTCAATTCCCAGTACCCGTATGGCAACTCACAACTGTCTGTAACTCCAATTCCAGAGGATCTGACACCCTCACACAGACATACATGCAGACAAAACACCAATGCACATTAAATAAAAATAAATTAAAAAATTCAAAACCCCTTAAACAAAGAAAAAGACCAGTGAGGGGGAAATAAGCAATTTTAGATCCTTGGTTTTGAGGATTGCTTATCTCCACAGTACTTACTCTTCTTTGCTTTTGGGCCGAAAACTAGCTTTTAAGTGTGTTAAAAAAGTGCATTTTTAGTGTTTATAATGTGGTTTGCTTTTTATACTTTCTCTCTTCTTTCTTTCTGTTTTTGTTTGTCTGTTTTTTTGAGACAAAGTTTCTCAGTGTAGCCCTGGCTATCCTGGAACTCCCTCTGTAGACCAGGCTGGTATAGTTTTTATTACAAAGAGGAAAAAAAAAAAATAAAGAAAAGCTGTTTGAGTTGTTACTGCTTGATTTGAATTCCTGTTTCATAAAATGAAAAAAATACTGAAATACTTTAAATGTGTTTAAACATTATACATATAACTTTCATCTGCTGGCTCCTTGGCATGTTTGATAGAAGCTTCTTAAGAAAATGCACAGTGCAGCAAGAGCCAGCTTCAGCCAGATATTTGAAACATTTAGTTGGTAACAGGAACGTTGATGTTTACTCAGCTTTGATTAGGGACGTAGCAAGTTTTAGTCCCATAGTCATGATGCTACTTGGGTTCTTTTCAGAGCTTTTATGGTTTTGTTTAGAATGCTCAGGTTTTAAAGAGTTTTGGTGTTTGGGAGAGTCTAAGCATGTCTGGCGCGTTCTGGAGTAACATTTTTAAAAAGAAATAAGAATAAATCTTAGTTCCTTCAAAATGAAGAGAATGTAGCTATTACTCTTTGAGTCCCAAGCTCACGACTTCCTGAAATTTAGCTAGTACTTGCCAGGATTTAACAGAGTCTTTATTTTGATTCCCCAGATTACTAAGCAAATACTTATTTTCTTACAAAAGCTAAATGAATTTCTCTGTGAAAAACTTACTTTAATGAAGTATCTTTATTTCAGTATCTTAAATAATGGTGAAGAAGAAATATTCAGTAATGAGTGTGAATATGCAGCCAAAAAGAGGAAGAAGGAACATTTTGGAAACAACACAGCTGCTCACAGTAAGAGTGTTTTACACACTGATAACTTGATAATCTTTTATTTGTGGGATATATATGTTGCCATGATGAAGTGCTTGGCAGTGCTCTCTCACTAGGTACAGGGTGATAGAGGTGTGCAAACTAGCTCTGTGCCCAGTGCCACCCATCTGTCTGGTACCCAGACAGTTTGTCAGTCAGCTCTTGGTCGGTGAGGTCTGTACAGTCAAAGACGGCAAGCCTGAAGCACGTTTCTGAGTAGCCAGATGCAGTCCCGAACTGAGCTCCTTCCTAAACAGAAAGGCCCCTCGGAGGGATGATCTGGATGTGGGACCACTAGGGAGCAAGGACAGGAACCAGAAGCGAGCAGAGCTAGGACAAGGGGCTATGATGTACCGGTAGAAGGGCTTGAGGGAATTGTGGGTTCTGTCACAGCCTGCCTGTTAAGTGTGAAGAAGGTAGAGAGCACAAGGCCCTTAGTTACGTGTACCATGTGTGGCCGTAACAGGTCATAAAGACCAGAGCCTTCTGTTATGTGTATAATGGTATAGAGTTAATATTATAGGATTTTTATCAGCATTTACATTTGATATAACTATCAATTTTTTCTAAGTTAATAAGATATGGCACTATGAAAAAATGTTTTTCCTGAAGAGGTGTCTGAGAACTTAGGTGATCTTAGGGAACAGAGTGTACTATTTGCACTTACCCAAGCTGACGCTTCTCTGACTGAATCAGGAAGATCATCTTGTTAGTCTGTCCTGCCTCACAGCTTCCTTAAAATCTGGAGGTCGAAATGGTTTGCCATATTTTAAAGACATTTCATTTTTGTTATAGGTTTTTATCGTGAAAAATGGATCTATGTCCATAAAGAAAGCACAAAAGAAGTAAGTATGTCATTAGAAGGGTGTATACTGTGTTGTTTCTGCTGAATTTGTAAACTAATTTATTTCTTTAGTAATACAAGGTCTATCACATTCTAACCCGTGAATATGTGTGTGTGTGTGTGTGTGTGTATATATAAATGACAGCTTTTTGCAGCAGTGACTATAATTATGTACATGTATTCGTTGATATGTGTATGACTGTGCACTGGGTGTGTGTGGTATAGGCGTGTGTGCTGTCAGATGTATTTGTGGTATAATGCATGTAGTATGTTTGTGTTATGAACTATGTGGTGTATGTTTGTGCAATATGATGGATGTGTATGATATGTGCATATGTCTGGTGTGTGGCATATATATGGTATATGCTATATACCTGTGAGTGCTGTGTTGTATATTTGTATATATAGTATATATGGAATGTGTTTGGTATATAATGTATATGTGATACATGCATGTGTGTGGTGTGTGGCATGTTTATGTAACATGTAGCATGTTTTTGTAACATGTATGGCACGCACACATGTAGTATGCACTACATATTTGTGATATGTTTGTTTATGGACTGTGCCCCACACACGTGTGTGATTGTGGCATTTGTAGTGTGTGTGGTCCATGAGTTTGGATGTGTGTGTTTCTTATAACCAAGCATACATGCCTGTGTGTTTGATCCATGCTCTGGCAATGTGAACTGCAGCAGCTGCTGCTGTTTTTCCTTTACCTCGTGTGTTTGGGGACTGAGATGCCCATGAGCCCTCCTTCCCTAATGCAAAGTGGCTCATAGGAACAACATAGGTTGGCTCTGCAGGACACTTTGGACTTTTTCTCTGCTTTTGATTGCCAAGCTGACTAAAGCTCTCTTAGGAGTCATCACACAAACCAATTGGCTACACTGTGTTTCTTGTTTCCCTGCTTAGTTTTAAGTAAACCTAGATCCTTTTATAGACCTTGAACATCTGCATTTGCTTTATTTTACAGCTGTGGGGAGAAAGAAACCAAGGGTGCAATTTCATATTACATGATCATGTGGTTAGGATTAGTTAAGTGTTCCAGAAATGTTAGTAATAGTCTTATAGTTTTTAATTTATCACATTTATTCAGAGGGTGTGGGTGTGCGTGCGTGCGTGCGTGCGTGCGTGCGTGCGTGCGTGCATGCATGCATGCATGCAAATACTAGGCCAGGGAAAGGAAGGTCAAAGGACAGCCTGTAGGAGTCAGCTCTTTCCTGCCATGTGGGTCCTGGGGATTGAACTCGTTTTCAGACTTGGTGGCAGGCATTTTACCCAATTACATCTTTAAACTATCTCAGCTTCCTTGAAGATACTTGGTGTGAGAAAGAAAGCTGACTTGGTGATGGTTAGTGTCAAGTGGGCATAGCATGAGTCCAGTCCTTGACAAACACGCCATTGAAAGACTGACGGAGTTAACATAATTTGTACAAAGCCACGCTGATTAAATATCTCACCTATCTTGTGAGTCATGTGGATTCTAGCTGGGCAAAGCAGGAAGAGGACTATGTTAGGAGAATGCCAGGATATCCTGTGGCTTCTTGGGATGGGGTCTGGCAGGCTCACAAAGAATCCAGGGCTAGCTGTCGGATCTGTATCTGGGCCTGTGCCATCCTCTTTATCTCTGGTTCTGACCCAAGGCAGCCTTTGAAGACAGATGCCCTTGAGTGTGCACCCCAACCTGTTCCATGTGCAACAGTAGTTAACCCAAAGAGGTGTCTTCACCACCATCAGAATTTTGTCCCTTGAAGTGAGATGCATTTCAGGTTATACCTGGTACTCTGTTCTCTGCTTCCCCACAGCTCCACAGCAGTATATGTTTCGTGTGAGTGTGTAACTGGGTTGTACACGTTAGGACTGTTCGAGGCCAGCAGACACCATGCTGCTCCTCCACAGCCACTAACCTGTTTCAAACCCAAAGTCATTTGTCACAAAGGAACCTTGTGGCTCCTTCTTGTCCTCCAGTTTATCTGCCCCTGTGACTCTGAACTGAAAATCTGTTTGTAGATTTACGTATTTTAGATGCAGAAGGTAGGATTTAAGAGCTTTCCTGACCTGAGGTGAAATCTGACAGACTGATATAGAAGACCGAAGACCTCTCAGACAGAATAGCCAACTTTATGACACCGAGGAGAAATTACGTTTCATTTTGATTCCCAGACCTGTGCATCTCATTATAGCAGTTGACTTTCCGGCTGCTCAGTGCCTGTGATCCCAGCCTGGAAATCAGCCGTTGCCAGGCTTGGGCCACAGAACCTCAGCCGTACTCATAGCTCCTTTTTAGAGCTGCCCCTCTCAGGCTTACTCCTTGGTGGTCAAGCACATGTCCACTATGGCAGTCAGAGCTCCCTGCAGACACATGGCTGTGTGTGTACGACATCAGCATCCTGAGGCCTCATGGTCACCCCACCTTGTCCCCAGCAACGGAAAGCAGAATGGTGTTTCATGAATCCTTACTTCTCTTTATCATTATACCAGCAGTGTGAACAAATTGTCAGTGCCTCGTGTCTCAGTTACTCACAATTGGTTTAAATTTAGTGTTGCTATATTTTACTCTATTCTCATTTATATCTGACATAAATTTTTAGAATGAATACAATGCTTTTTATGTTCCCTAACCGACATCACCTGTTAGCTCATTTTACTTGGCTGGTTGAGCTCACTGTTGGTCTAATGTTTTCTAGAGGCATGGCTACTGTACCCTGGGAGAAGCCTTCAACCGACTAGACTTCTTAAGTGCAATTCAGGATATTAGAAGGTTCACGTACGTGGTCAAAGTAAGTGTTATTTCAGAAACAGCTTTGATGACTCTTGAGTTACTTTTCAGGGTTATAAATGTGAGATATTCAAGGTGCCTTTGAGAGCTGCATAAGGTTCAGCTGTTGACAGTAGAAAAGGGAAGGAACGCGCTCGGGAGGAGACAGGGGGCTTGCCACACTGAGGGCACAGGTGCAGGTCTCAAGCTTGGTGAGACCTTCCTATTCAGAGGCCGTGGGAACTAAGATGTTCCAGGGCCTCTTTCTTGGACACACTTCAGACAGTTGAGCTCAGGAGGGTCTCTGATGACTACTCCATCTGCATTTTTTTACTTCATGTTTTCACTTAAAATGAGCCTTGTTATATACAAAGGACCAACTGGCTAGTAGTCCAGAGGAATTTTACACAAACTAGAACTCCAGATAAGCCTCGCTGCATGGTCGGTAGCTTTTTAGAAGATTCTCTTTTGGGCTACGTTCAGAGGGAACAGATCTTTGCCGTGGGGTTTGCTTTGGTGGCACGTTCACTCCACTGCACCATACGTAAAGTACAAGCAGGGTTTCACACCGCCAGCCTTGATTCCAGTGGTGCTCAGACTCTCACTGCCTTCTAGGCGTTTCCAAGTGTCAGTGTAAGGACAGAGGTGAATTGCTCGGGCTCAGCTAGTGTGATGTGTAACAGGATTCTAGGAGGCACTGGCGGATGGCAGGAGGAGCAGTCACAGGATCTTCTTGTGCCCAGTCTGCACTGGGTACATTTCCTGAGCTCTTGCAGAGCATCTGTCCATGTGCCTCTGTTCTAGGGATGAAACCCAGGTCCACTCTGGCTTGTCAGGTGTCAGGAAGTTAGTATCCAGGGAGGACCCAGGCCGGTTCTAACAGAACCGTTTCTACCAGCTCTAAAACACTTCTGTAAAGAACCTTCTTGCAGGTGAAAGTGGCTTCTCTGTTTCTAAGTAGCAAGTTTCCTTAGTAGAGTTGCTACTTCTACCCATCCAGAATAGAATTCACCTAGCCCTGCTAGCCAGCAGTGTCCTGCTGCTCTGCTGAAGTGCCCAGCAGAAGCGACAGGAAGGATGAAAACATCTTGTTTCAGATCATAGAGCGCTTCTGCCCTGGACTTCCTCCTCCTCCTCCTCCTCCTCCTCCTCCTCCTCTTCCTCTTCCATGTGTCTGTTTTCTGGGATGCAGCTTATATACCGTGTGGGAGTGGTCTTGAGCCTCTCTGGGGGAGGAGCTGTGTATGGTGGGCTTTGATGTGGCGGGTTTGGTGGAAGAAATGGAGGAGGGGAGTTGAGGTGGCTCTTCCACCAGAACATTCCAGACTCTTTGGGTATAGGGGCACTGGTTCAAGTCTGGCTACTTCCTGTGGGCATGGGACGACATGGGGAAGGGGGGAGTTGGGAGTTGGGAGTTGGTGGGCTCACATTCAGCAGGAGGTGTGAGGGGAGGAGCATCCAGTTAATTGTCATCCTGGAGACCTCAGGCATCTGTTTCTTGAGGAAGCAGAGAAGGCAAGTTTCTAGGAAAAATAGATCATTAACAGTTGCCCTACTTGCACTGAAAAGATGAATGCACAGGGCAGAAGAACAGGTAGGCCTTTCATTGGGACATCTTGGAAACCCTGGGCTTATTTCTGTTTCCCCAAGTTTACTCCTGCCCCTTCTTCATTTGTTTTCATAAGAGGTTGTTGGTTTTGGGCAAATGCTCTTTACATGCTCATTGAGATGATTATGTGTGTGTGTGTGTGGGACCCACTCCCACTTTTACCCCAGGGTATTCTTGAGGAGAGAGGGATAAGAGATTTAGATAGAAAGATAGAGGGGAGAGAAACAGAAACACAGGATAGCTCGGGAGGGCCTGGATCCTTATCCACCGGCCCCTTTTGTCTTTTCAAAAGGGCTTTTTATAGGAATGCCAAGGGGTGGAGCAAAAGACCTCTTCTAGTACAGCCAAGTGCAGACCCCTCCAGTCACCTGGTAACCACACTCGTGGTCATTCCATCTTATGCAGCCCTGCTGGGTAAAGCAAGCTCAGATCTCACTTAGGAAACTTCTGTGGGCTCCCACAATTATGCTGGGTTTTTTTTTTCCTTCACTGTTGATGTGTATAAGGCTTATTGGTTTGCCTGTGTGAAACTGTTCTTGAAATGAACCTCATGTGGTGGTGATTAATCTTGATGTCCTGTTGGTTTCTGTTTCCTGGAATTGGGCAGGTGAACAGATTTTAGCATCTATTTTGTTTGTTTTTGTTTTTTAAATCAGGGATTTTGTCCTGTAGTGTTTTGTTGCTGTATCCTGATTTGCTTTTGGTATCAATACTGCTAGCTTCATGGTAAGCATTTAGAAGAATTCCCCTTCTTGGAACAATTTGAGAAGAAATTGGTTCTGTAAGTGTTTGGTAGACTTCAGAGCAAAGCCATTTGGTCCTGGGCTTTTCAGCGATGAGGTCCTTCGTCACTGCTTGTTACCCAATACAAGTCTATGGAGGTTCTCTTTCTTCATGATGCAGTCCTGGTCTAAGATGATAGCAAACTGTGGACCAGGGTAGCCAAGCAGAATGTGCTGAATGTCCTAGACCCTGGGGATAAAGGAGTAGTGTAGCCAGCTGGACCAGGAGGGGAGAGGAGAAATGCTTAGCTGGCTGTTTTACCTGTGATTACAAGTGTGATTCCCTAAAATGGAGCTGTGGAAAGGAGGAGGGAAAAGAAGGCGGCAGATTTATTATGACTTAGAACAGGCCTGAGGGTGAGTGTCATGTAGAACTACATTACCAAAGTATCACCAGGACAAAGGAATGTAAGCCCCCCTAAGTTTTGAAAGAACTATAGGAAAAGAATAAGAAGTTTTGTTGTTGTTGTTTTGTTTTTTAGTTATAAAACCATGTCAGAATTAAGACCAAACCTTTATTGTATCAGTAAGTGTTTCTATGTTGGGTCAAAAGCACAATCCAACTCCAGGTTATACAGTCAGTCCCCAGAATGTAGAGATCTGAAGTTGGGAATAGAAGAATGGGGAAGATACAGGGGAAAATGTGAACAAAATGGCGCGGAACAAGAAGCATGGAAGGACACTGCCCGGTGTAGCACCAACAGGGGTCAGTTGTAGTAGAGGGTTGTAGGGCCGAGGGAGGCACAGGCATCAGGATGAGCCTCCGTCTCTGTATCAACAGGATTGGTACCACTTAGTTTCCATTGCAGTGACCTTTCTTGGTTCCTAGGTTTTCTGTGATATGTTTGAAGTGGTGTTTTTAAATTTCAACATGAAAGGAAGGGCCTGTTGATCTGTTGATTGTCTCGGCAGTTTTAGAAAGTGGATCAGAGCATGAAGGAGCATGATGAAAGTCTCTTAGTGACCAGGATACTCCACAGTTCCCTGCTGAGGTGAAGTATAAGGCTAGAAGGCATTTATTTATCTCCCTGGCCTGCAGCGGGCCTGTTGAGAGTGAGTGTCTCCGACTGGGTTCTTGTGCAGGACAGGAAAACAGACTTGCTGCTGCCTCAGCAGCTGGAGTAAGGTCCCTCCGTTCACGTAGAGAGCAGTCCTTCTGTAGCCCCCTCGCTGCAGTACCTCAGTCCCTTTCACACTGTGCTCCAGTGTGTGCTCATGGTGCTTCCATTGATCACGGACCACAGCTCAGCTCTTCCTTTCTTACCTTTAGCTACTGCAGCTCATTGCGAAGTCCCAGTTAACCTCACTGAGTGGAGTGGCACAGAAGAACTACTTCAACATTCTGGATAAAATCGTTCAGAAGGGTAAGATTATTATTGAACGTTTGTTATATTTTTTAAATAAAATATTTATTGATAAATAAGACATAGTATGCAACTTGACCATTGATACCGTTCAGTAGTTTTCAGGGCAGTGTATTCATAGGATTGGGCAGCCATTGCTGCTTTTAATTTTATAATATTTTTGACAATTTGACACTGTATTGGGTTGTATTTGCTTCTGTTACCCTCTCCCATCCCTGCCGTGCTAGAGTTTTATGCCAGTTTTACATAAGCCAAAGTCATCTGAGAGGAGGGAACCTCAATTGAGAAAATGCCTCCATAGGAAATGCAGGGCATTTTTTAAATTTGCAGTTGAGCGGGGAAGGACCAGCTCATTGTGGATGGTGCCATCCTTGCTTGGGCTGGTGGTCCTGGGTTCTATAAGAAAGCAGGCTGAACAAGCTGTAAGGAGCAAGCCAGTAAGCAGCACTCCTCCATGGCCTCTGCATCAGTTCCTGCCTCCAGGTTCCTGCCCTGACTTCCTTCAGTGATGGCTGTGACCTTAGAGTTGTAATAGGAGGTAAACCCTTTCCTCCCAAGTTTCTGTGGTCACGGTGTTTCATCACAGCAATAATAAGCCTAAGACACCGGCTGACCCCTTCTTCCCAACTAGTTCCCCTCATACTTAGGCAGTGACCATATCTGCTGTGTGTTGATGATGTGTGTTTATAGCAGTGACTGTGGTTTATCCAGAGGGCAGCTCTTGAGGGTGCTCTTTCCTATCCCCTGGGGTCTCACAGGCTTCTCTTTCAGGTTTGAGCACTTCATAATTGCATAGTCTTAATCACCTTGACTAGTGAAGAGTCTCTGTAGTAACTACTACCCACTGCAAAAACAACCTCCTCTGACCAAGGCTGAGAGCAGCACTCGGCGATGGCGGTGGACATAAACATAAATGTTTAGAAACAGTTTGACGTGTTCATTGAGCAGAACAGCAGTAGCAGGTTCCCACCTAGGGCTTAGGGACCTCCCTAGCCGCAGTACCAGGCATGTATGCCTGGCCAGTTAGAAAGGAGTTGGTTGTCCCCCAAAAGATAGGCATGCCACTCCTACACCAGCATCACCAGAAATCTTAAGTCTAGATGTTAATTGGAAATTTCGTACAAGGAGAGGGGCTTTTTTCTATTATCTTTCCACAGTATGTATGCATTCAAAATAATAATGTGAGTACTGTGACACCAGGCCAGAAGATGCATCCCACCAGCTGCTAAAAGTGCAGATGTGTGCCAGGAAAGAGCGACCCAGTCCTACAAAGACTCTGTTCTCTCATGGTTAACCAGTCATGGTTCATTCAACTGTTGGGTTCTGGAATCAGTAAGATTGCGGCTTTTTGACTTAGACACCATATGAGTCATAATTTTCCTTTTAGTTTAGTAGGCTTACCTTTACCAATTAGTGGCTATTAGTAAAAGGAACTTTTTATTTTATACCATTAGCTTATACACATCTAGTAATTTGTGACCTTGTATATGAGCCATTTTAAATATTCTCCTTATCATAAGCACAAAAGAAAATGTATACTGACTACTTTAAAATTGTAGACTCAACTAAAAGTTTAGCCAGAAAGCATTTTAAAACTTTAAAAACTCTTATTAATAGTTCTGATATCTAAAAAATTATGCCACTTTTAAATTGCCATGAAATTAGGTCCTTGGTTTTAATGTGATAAAAATACATACGACATAAAATGTATCATTTTCATCAATTCTTAGTTCACGTTCAAAGCATTGGGTGCTGGTACATTGTGCAGTCCTTGCTGCTGTCTCCAGAGCTGCTGCTCTGTCCTAACACTCTGCACACTACACCCAGCTTCCCATGGCCAGTGCCATGCCCCTGCTCCATCACTGCATCTCTGTCTGTGGCTCTGGGTCATGCTCTGTTGGTCCTTCTGTAACTGGCTCCCTCCCATGTCCTGCATCTTCAAGCTTCCTCCCCATGGAGCAGGTCAGAATCTCCTTTACTTTAGGTTGTGGTATCCCAGCATATGACTGGATCACATTTTGCTCTCCTCCTTCAGTTGATGGACACTTGGGTTATAAAACTAGAAGACTGTTAGAAGTGGTATTTGCTGTATCAGTCTGTGTTTTATTTATTTCAGTTCTTGACGACCATCAGAATCCTCGCCTTATCAAAGACCTTCTCCAAGACTTAAGCTCCACCCTTTGTATCCTGGTGAGAGGGGTGGGGAAGTCAGTGTTGGTGGGAAACATCAACATCTGGATTTGCCGCTTAGAAACTGTTCTCAACTGGCAACAGCAGCTGCAGAATCTTCAGATGACTAAGGTATGTGTCTCTTTGTTTTCCTGGTTTGGGTTTGATTTTTTTTTTTTTTTTAAGACAAGATCTTACTATGAAGCTCTATCTGGCTTTGTAGACCAGGCTGGCCTTGAACTCACAGAGATCCACTTGCCTCTACCTGTGCAGTGCTGGGATTAAAGGTGAGCACCACCACATCTGGCTTGAGTTTATTTTTAATTGACACAGTAATTGTATGTACTTAAGAGGTGCTGTGTGATACTTTACATATCTGTGATGTGTAACAACTGTGTCAGGGTAGTCGGTGACTACTACCTCATACATTACCAGTTCTGAGATTCTCAATGAATTGTTGCCAACCATAGTTATATACCACTGTGCTAATGAGCAATAGAAGTTCTTCCTACTATCCAGCTGTGTTCCTGGACCCATTCGCCATCTACTCTCTACCCTCTTCTCTTTATCTTTCCCCAGACTATGGTAACCACTGTCGACTTCTTTGCTTTGAGACCCGCCTTTTCATTTCCACACGTAACTTAGAACATGTTTTTGTCTTACTATTCTTGACTTCTTTCGCGTAACAGGATTACCTGTGGTTCCATCATATTTCTGAAGATGACAGCATTTCATTATTTTTATTGCTGAATCATATATAACACATTTTCTTTATTAAGTTCTGTGTCAGTAGACACTAGGGTGATGCCATGTCTCGGCTACTGTGACTCCCGCTACATAAATGGAGGATTTCAGTTCCTTTGGATACATACCCATTAGCAGCTTTGCTGGGTCCTATGGTAATTCTGGTTCTGTTTTTTTCAGGAACTCTTTTTTTTTCAGGCTGCTCTTCTCTTTGCTAAATTGCATTTGCATCAACAGTCTATGAGAGTCCCCTGTCTCTCCATCACCAGCATTTGTATCAACAGTCTATGAGAGTTCCCTGTCTCTCCATCACCAGCATTTGTATCAACAGTCTATGAGAGTCCCCTGTCTCTCCATCACCAGCATTTGCTGTTTTGCTCCTTTAATAACTGCCATTCTAACTGGTGTGGGTGGGTGCCTCACTGTGATTTAGATTTGCATTTCTCTGATGATTAGTGATATTGAATGTTTGTATATACTTGTTGACTATTTGCATATCCTCCTTGAAATGTCCAATTAATTCACCCACTTTTAAATAGGGTTTATTGGGGTCCTTCATCATTGTGTTCTGTGATTCCCTAGCATTTGTAAATTAGCCCCTGTCAGATGAATAGCTGGCAAGCATTCTCTTCCATGTTGGGTGTCCTTTCAATCTCTACTTTCTTTTTGATACAGAAGCTTATTTTATGTTAATCAGACACTACATTCATTTTGTATCATAAATATGTGTTAAACTGTCAATGAAGAGAAAATTCAGATTTAAAGACAGATGAAGCTGGGGAGATCTTATAGACACCCTGTCTGTCGCTGGATGAGTCACGGTGTGGACCACCTTGTGACCCTTACTTCCATTGCTGTCATCACCAGTTCCACATTTCAGATCCACCGTTTTCTGGGTAGTTTTCTAGTTAGGATAGAGCTGGGGCATGTCCAAGGGTGCAGCTTCCTGAGCACAGGAAGTTGCCACGTGCCAGCCCTGCTGAGACCACCAAGCACAGTAGTGAGGAAAGATTGAAGTGGCTATTAAAAGACGGACTTCTTTCTTGTGGTCACATGGAAGTTGTCTGTCTAGCGTGGCTGTTATTCTTCGTGGGAGGAAGTCACTGTATTTTCTCCATCTGACACTGTCGTGTCCCCTTTCAGCAGGTCAACTCTGGCCTCACACTCAGTGACCTGCCCCTGCACATGCTGAACAACATCCTGTACCGTTTCTCAGATGGCTGGGACATTGTCACCCTGGGCCAGGTGACACCGACCCTGTATATGCTCAGTGAAGACAGGCGGCTGTGGAAGAAGCTCTGTCAGTACCACTTTGCGGAGAAGCAGGCAAGTGGGGTGCAGAACCCGTGAGTCAGGTCAGCTGGTCCCCATCCAGGGTCCCTCGTGCTTAAATGAACTTGGGGAGGATATGGACGCCATATCCGGAGACTTGATAGTACGAGAGTATACTGAAGTTGCTTCTGAATTCTCTTCTGTCAATTGCAAGGTTCATTTTTCATATTGAGAAGCAGTCATAGTTCTAAAAATGGCCTGGTACTGAACAACTTAACTAGCTGAGCTGTGTCACACTTAGTGGTCACAGGTCATGGTTTTCTGTTGTTTGTTTTTCACTTTTTTGGGGGGCCCGCCACCCAGTTCCCAAATAAATCACACACAGAGGCTTATTCTCACTTATATTTTTGGTTGTGAGCCTAGTCTTTAACGGCTGAGCCATCTCTCCAGCCCTTATTCTCACTTATAATGCTCAGCCTTAGCTTGGCTTGTTTCTTGCCAGTTTTTCTTAACTTATCCCATTTACCTTTGGCCTCTGGGCTTTTCCTGTTCTCTTCTGTAAATCTTACTCTTACTCTGTGGCTGCTGTATAGCTGGGTGGCTGGCCCACCGAAAGAGTAAAGAGCCAAAAAACCACCACCAACTGTGTTCTTTTACCTATTAAGTCACGTTCTAGCTCTGTCTCCTGTCAGCCTGTTGTCCTGGAAGATCAGTGGATCCTTGTAGCTCCTGTGCTTCCCACTTGGTGGCACTGTTTCCAGGTCCTCAGTGTCTTGCTAGTCGACTCTCTTCTACATAATGACATCCCCGCTCTGCTCCTGCAGAGTCTAAGCGTCCCTGGCCTATTGCACAGAACGGCACCCATTCCATACATGGATAAGAAGGGGCAGGTGATACGTTGTATATCTTGTAGATATGGACATGACTGAGATACAGGAGCATTGTGAAGTTGGGGGTAAAACTGTGCCCGTTTCATGGCAAGCATGGGCAGTGTAGCAAAAGCAGGTCCCATTTGAAGGAAGAATCAAGAGTCTTAGACACACTCAAGAGTCCATCCAGCTGGCTTAGAGAATCCAGTGAATTGTATGGAACACGTGGCACCTTTTAAATGACCCTCTGAATCTTGCTTGAGAGAAACACTGTGGGCATGAGGAGGCCCATTAAGACTGTCCCAGAGAAGCAGAGGTGGTGGTCAAGAGTATGTATAGGTCCAGCCAGGACCCCAGGTGAGGCAGCTGGTTCTCCCCAGGGAAGGTCTGAGCAGGACAGGCCAAGCAGAGACCTGAGGAAGTGCCTATAGGGGCCTAGAGCAGGTCTGTGAGAGCTCAGGAAGATATGGATCTAGACATAGAGATGGATGAGGATGACAAATGGTACGTTGCATTGGGGTTTGCAGAGGCTGGGCCTGAGAACTGCTGGGTGGGCTGTTCATCTGAGCAGGAGGGGACGTCCACTGCACCCCTGGATCGCCAGCCATCCTGTCTCTTGATACCCGTCTTACCATTTTTCTCAGCTGGCAACCATGATTCTGCTCTCTCCTCTTGGAGATTGGATTTGGGTTGGCATCAGAAATGCAGGAGAGGTTGAATAATCCTTTGGAGGGAAGATTTAGAACCAGGGACAAAATGATGGATGAAAGTATGTCTGGGATGGAGCTTATGCATCACACAGTTGCTCTATATGGGTATTCAAGGATACCCATAGGGAGAGGGACCAGGACCCCCAACAACCTGAATCTTCCGTTCAGGCTGGGCTACCAGAGTGCCTGGCAGGTGTTTAGAGAGCCAGATTTCAAACACACTGTTAGAATATCTGCTGACCATTTGTGAGCCCTGAGTTCCTTGATGAAGCGCTTTAAAGAGGTTAAAGGTCTGTTTGCACCAGTATCATGCCCCATAAGAAGTTAGGTTAGAATCTGTGGTTAGCACCTACATGGACACCTTTTGGTGCATATTTTCTTGATTGAATCACAAAACTGCATCTGTAAGATGTTATTATAGTTCTTCTGAGTGACTAACAGTAGGACCCTGATTTCTCAGGATTAGCGGTAGATTAGGGTCAGTCAAACCAGCAGTATAGGAAGCACCTCAGTGGGAACTGAAGGCTGTGTAGGTCTTGGACTAACAGTTCATAGTGACATCCGAAGGAGCCATTGGCAAGACATGTTTGCCGTGAGCACTCTTGTGGACGGGACTGGAGGAACAAAGAGGCCACAGGACCTTAGGTAGAAGAGAAGCTCCAGGAGTGTAGGTGTTCCTCCTGTGAACGCTGGGGGGGCCTGCAGCGGTGAGGAGGGCGGAGAAGACAAGGCAGAGGCGATCTTGTCTCTAGAAACTGATGTTTCCGTGGTGCCTCAAGGATATGGAAATACGGAAATCAGACCTCTGATTGGTCTCCTTGGCTTTTCAAACTCTCTTCTTTTCAAATTGTAGTAGAAGTAAGACTCCCTCATGGGTTCCATTATCATTTCCAAACAGAGTCCCTAGAAGGTGTGGCTGATGACATGTTGTGTAAGTGGTTGTTTTCAGGTATATAAAGCCAGACACTCCTAAGAGAGAGCAGAAGCAAACGTAGATGAAGGCATCTGTTCATAAATGAACAAGGACAGGCCTATCAAGCCACAGTTCTCTATGTACATACCGCACACACAGAACCACAGTTCTCTGTGTGCACACCACACACACAGAACCACAGTTCTCTGTGTGCACACCGCACACACAGGACCACAGTTCTCTGTGTGCACACCGCACACACAGGACCACAGTTCTCTGTGTGCACACCGCACACACAGGACCACAGTTCTCTGTGTGCACACCGCACACACAGGACCACAGTTCTCTGTGTGTACACCGCACACACAGGACCACAGTTCTCTGTGTGCACACCGCACACACAGGACCACAGTTCTCTGTGTGCACACCGCACACACAGGACCACAGTTCTCTGTGTGCATACCACACACACAGAACTTTTATGGCCTTCTGCTTTATTTTCTCATGACCATTATATTGCTCAGACATTTTTTGGGAATACCTTCATCAAGACGCTATCCAGCTTATATCGCCGTCACTGTGGTCCATTTTCAGACATGTTGTTGCCTCAGAAGGAGCCTGGTGCCCTTCGGCTGTCAGTCCCACTCCTGCTCTAAGCAACCACTCTCTGACTGGACTTCCTGTTGTGGGTGTGTGGTGTGAGCAGAATATGCACCAGTCAGGCTTTGTAATGACCTCCTTCCTATCAGCATAACGCCCTTCAGGATGCATCTATATTGGGAATCAAAACGTCAGTCCTTTGGGGACTAAAGATTCCGTTTTTTGGACACACCATGTTTTGTGTGCCCATTCATCTGGTTGTGGACCCTGCACCTTGTGGCTGTTAGGATTGTTGCTGTGGACATGTTTTCTCGTCCCTTTACAGTAGTGGAATTACAGTTGCGTTGCTGTGTTTGATCCTGGAGAAGCCGCACTGCCCCCACAGTGCCCACACCGTTCTGTACTCCCACCAGAAGTGTGCGAGGCCTCTGATTGCCTGCATCCTCCCCAGCACCTGCCGTTGCCTGACCCTCTAGTTGTCACTGTCCCAGTGGTACCAGGTGGCGTAGCTTTCCACCTCAGGTGCTTGGCATTTTGTCGTAAGGACATTAACCATTTGTGTGTCTTGGCAGTATAAATGCTTTTCATCAGCCAGGCGGTGGTGGCGCACGCCTTTAATCCCAGCCCTCGGGAGGCAGAGCCAGGCGGATCTCTGTGAGTTCGAGGCCAGCCTGGGCTATAGAGTGAGTTCCAGGACAGGCGCAAAGCTACACAGAGAAACCCTGTCTCGGAAAACCAAAAAAAAAAAAAAAAAATGCTTTTTATTGTTCTCAAGTTAAGTAGGAGGTCTTCTTTATTTATCCTGCATACAAATCTCTTAGCAAATACATGGCATCTTCAACTATCGCAGACCTCATTCCACAGGTGTTGACTGTCTCCTCACAGCTGCTTGTGTGGCTGTGTGGGAACACCATGATTTGCTCAACTTGTTCCTCATTGATTTAATCCAAGTGACTTTAATTTCAGATCATAAAACGTTTCGTGTTCTGCTCTGTCTTAAAAAAAAATATGTACCTAGTGCCTGTTTTAAAAATCATCTAATAATTCTGAACAGAATTTTCTTTTTTTAGTTTTGTAGACACTTGATCCTTTCAGAAAAAGGTCATATCGAATGGAAGTTGATGTATTTCACACTTCAGAAATATTACCCGACTAAAGAACAGTACGGAGACACTTTACATTTCTGTCGGCACTGCAGCATTCTCTTCTGGAAGGTAATGATTAAAATGTACTCTTGGCGTGTGAGGACTGGGATGCAGTGAAACTATTCATTTAGATCTTACATTGAAAGGTCAGAAAAGAATTGGAAACGACGTTTATGATGGGAATAGCTGAAATACATTCCACTAGATACTGCTGTGCTGTAGTAATCACTGCTGGAAACGCAAGTGCTGTCCTTCTGAGTGGGGCATGCTTGTCCTTGCTGCTGATGGAGGTCTAGAAGGTTGATGGAGCAGATAAGGCTCCTGAGCATCTGCTCCTCACTGGGGCTCTGGGAGCCTCACACCCAGCCTGAAGAAGCTGCCCTTGTCTGCCTGTGCCCGCCCTCTGAGACACCTGGGAGGCAGCCCGCTCTTTGCAGGGGATCAGGACCGGCCTTCGGCCTCTTCCCTCAAAGCCAAGTTCTTAGGTTAGGCAGTGTGGCCACAGCAAGCGCGGCCTTCAAAGGAAACGAGCAGACTTAACAAGACTATAATTTTTTACGCACAAACTGATCCTTTAGTGAAAAACTTAAATGTCCCTATCAGCAAATTGTCATATCCAAACAGTAAATCAGGAGTCCTCCATCCTGCTGCGTTGCCTGTTTTGAAATCCCCGCGCCCCCATATTGTCTCTGGTGACAGTAACGTGTTTCCCGTAGCCAGCAGAGCCCTGTGTGTCACTTCCTTTCCCTGGTAGCTGCTGTCATGTTTACTTTTGCTTTACACCCATCTACATTTGTTAGCAAATGAATACAAGGCCAGCTCTAAATTGTTGGCAAGGGACCACTTTAACATTTTTTCATTTCAAACTCCATTTCTAATTCGTATCCTTTTTTTGTTACGATGGTCCAGACCGAGCAGAGGAGTCGATGCTGAAGTTGCTGGGGTATTTCGACAGGTGTTGAGCAGTACTTGCTGATGTCTCCAGCAGGGACAGCTGAGGAGGCTTGTCCTCCCTGACCTTGTCCCTTCTCTCTCAGAATTAAAACTGCCAGTGTGTGACATGTGTGTGTGTGACTGCAGCCGCAGTCTGTTCTCTAGGACACTTCTCTAGAACAGGGTTAGCTGGTGTTCAGTTTGTCCTCAGTTCCTTGGTGAGTTTATGCATATACAAAAGACAGCCCTCTGGTGTGCCCTCTTCTGTGTCCCAGTCAGAGCAGGGGACACTTCACTGGTGCCCTGAGAAGACGAGGACCTATCTGTGTCCCGGTTAGAGCAGGTGAGACTGTAATGTTCAGTGTAAATTAATACATCTCCTAGAGACTGTCTTTTTGTTTTCTCCCAAGATTATTTCAGACTATAGAGACATTAAAGATATGGATGCTTGTACGAGGGACGATACTAATCATGGGATTGAAGGCTTTTAGTTTTGTATGTGATAGTGTTTTCCTTGGACAAGTATCTAAGAATATTTGGCACTTATCTGCTAAAGAAAACAGCACAAAGAACATGTTTCCCTTCTCTGTACCATCTCTGTTGTTGGGCAGTGTAAGAATGGACTGCTCAGCTTTCCTGAAATATATAAGTTCTGGTTATTTTTAACAGAAAAAAATAAAATGACTTATTTTTCCAGAGAATTGGCCTCTCCTGCCATAGTGATCACATTATGAACAGTCAGAACAGGTCATTACAGAGCAGACCCTGCTGGTCTTTGCCATTCTGAGAGACAAATGGATGGAGGGTGGCATCACCCAGCAGGATGTCTGAGGCTTCGGGGAGCCGTATTAGCAGTTTCTCCACCTGCCATCCTTCCAGAGACCCTGCTCCTTTGAGGATCCATTCCCAAACAGAAGTGGGAAAATGTAAGGAAGCCACCTTCCTTAATCCCTGCAGCTGGCAGGTAGTCCTCTGCCACAGTATACAACTGTCCAGAAGCAGCATTCTCCTTGGGAGAACGTGGTGTGCAGTTGGAGGCCCAGGTGACCAGTGTGCTGCAGGTGTGGCACCATGCACCATGTATGCCTGCCTCAGCTTCCTGGGCAGGACTCTCGACTGAGGCACTGAGGCACTGAGGGAGCCTCAGTGTCTATTAGGAATGTCGAAGAGGGATGGCTAGTCTTCACCGGGGCCTGGATATGGTCAAGAGCCACACTGTGGCTGAGCTGCTTCTTGTCTTATGCCTGGCAAGTTCCACAGGGACCACCTGTCCTTGTGGGGACCCTGTGCCTCCTCCCAAGCTGGTTTTTCATCTGTTCTAGTTCCACTATACTGGAGTGATTCTTGTTAATTTTTCCATCTACTGCTCAAGACCCGGTCATTGTTCCCACCCAGGTGACCAGCACACTGAGAAGGCCAGTCAGTGTGCACATGTATCTCTCCGTCCCTACTCAGTTTCCTGATGATGTAGACCCTGTCAGAAGTGTGGGCTCAGAGACAGAGCTAGGGAAGCCAGAATGGGGACTTGGCCTTTCTGCGTTCTGTTCTTGTCTCATTATCTCAGCAGCCAAGAGAGGGCTGGACACTTAGCAGTGACCCTGAGGTCTCTGGAGGCAGTAGAAGCGAGACCGACCAGAACCAGTGATGAGGCGGAGCTTCCGGACTCTCTCTGTTGGCTGTCTTTGTGAACTACCCCGAATGAGCAGAGCTGAAATGCTGTCCCACTCCTGAGCAGGGCAGAGACAGCTCCTCCAGTTAGAGCTCAGGGCTGCCGACCACACGGAAGCCACAGCAGATGGTAGTGGGCTGCAAGAAATGAGGTGTGAAATAGATGGAGGGCCTCAGGGTGTATGTAGTTTGCAGTTAGTTATGTAGTTAATCACAGAGCAGACCCCAGGACAGCAAAAAAGACAGGCGTTTCCTCAACCCCAGAATTTTTTTCCTGGAAGTATGAGGACTGTTTTGTGCATTTTTAACTAATACTTAAGTGTTACGGCCTTCCAGATTGTCAGTTTGGGAAACTTAAGTGGAAATGGGACTGTTTTTTTTCCCTTGGGCTTCCTCCTTTCTTTCCTTTTTCTTTTCCTTTATTTTTGAAACATTTTTCCCTCTGTGGCCCTGGCTGGCCTGAGACTCTTTATGTAGACCTCTAATTCATACAAGATCGACCTGTCTTTCCCTCCCAAGTGCTGGGGTGAAAGGCACTGGCTACCAAGCCTGGCTTTGTCCTAGGCTGTCTTTAATATCCGAATGTCAGGTATGTAGCGGTGCTGTCTTTTGATGACATTTTATATTGCTCGGTGCCTCAGTTACTTTCACAGTGTGTGCTTCAGACCTGAAGGCCTGGATCCTCCTTCTCCATCTAACCCTGACTCTCTTTCCTCCCTGTGCTGCTCCCTCGCTGCCTCTTCACGGTGTCCAGGACTACCACCTTGCTTGGTTGTTGAAGGTACTTCCTGTGCGGTGTGCTGGTCCATCTCATGGACTGTCCTTGTCCTGTCGGGGGCATCTTTGATAAGGTTCAGCTCTGGTCGGCAACAGTAGACTTATCCCTGTTGGGCTGACAGGCCGTCCACGCACCTCAGGGTGGTCTGCTCGAGGCCATCGAAGCAGCTCCAGCACGCTGAGCCTCTCCAGACGGGGCCAGTTTTCTGTCTGCACATCTTACATTTCTCTTGTCACTTCTGCTAAACTGAGTGCAGCTCCTTGGTAGTGGCCCTGCCAACTCTACACCTAGCCTTGGGACATGCTTGTGGCGCCCCATCCTCTCTGTGTGTGGGAGGAGACTGCTTATCCACCCCAGAAGCCTGCAAAGGAAGAAGGGGGGCAGGGTGTGGAGGGGTGGGCAGGAGGAGGCAGAGATCGGCGGCGTCCATGTCTTCCGGGGTGACTAGAGTTGAAGCATTGTCACTGTTAGACCCCTGGGGCCACCCAGGTACCCATCCCAGCTAAGTCATCTATCTGGCATGAAAGGGACTAGGATCCACTTAAAGTGCAGATGCTGTTTCTGTAGAAGTGTCGTGGTGTGTCCTGACCCACCTCCTCCTTCCTCTCCTCAGGACTCGGGACACCCCTGCACCGCGGCTGACCCTGACAGCTGCTTTACCCCCGTGTCTCCTCAGCACTTCATCGACCTCTTCAAGTTCTAATGGTGCCCTCAGCCCTGTGCCCTTGTCCACACCCGCCCCTTGTGCGTTCTGTGTGTCCTGTAGTTGGTGTAAGTATTCTTTGACACAAAGTGATGGCGGGGGTCTGGGACTGGCTGTGCCTGTGCGGCCCTTGCTTCCGGGAGAACCCGAGAGCACACGGAGGGCGCCCTGGCAGCTGTGCAGCGTCCTGAGAGAGTGGAGACCGCGAAGCCATTTGTACTTCTTTCTGGAACCTCTTCTAAGCATATACAATTTGCAGTTTTGTATATTTTTAAATATGGATCAGAAAAAGTTTTGGATATTCAGCCCCACATCCTGTACTGAACCGACATGAACAACAAGACTGTGGTTCTTAGTTGTCAATGGTAGTTTTCCATCTTAGAGTAATTGGGATGAAGAACCAAACAGTTGATCCTTGTAAATACATTATGCAGAATATTTATTTTTCTTAAAATGTATTTTCACAACCTCTGTGGCTGTGCCCAAATGAGTCCTCATTGAATACAAGATAACCCGAGGAACATGCTTGGCAGGCTCTATCTCACTACAGTGGGCAGGGCTGTGAACGGTGTGTATTGCCCTGCCATGAGGCCATCTTATATCCGTACATGGAATGTGGGCTCCAAACCAGAACAGAGCCTCTGCCGAGGAGCTGGAAACAGCCTAGGGAAGCCTGAACTTGACATGTAGAAATTACTTCCACAGTAAAGTAATAAACCATGTTTATCTACTGATTCAGCTTCATCAAATTTACATCTAACTGAATTGAATAGTGTTGTCTTTAAAATATTGCTGTTTTATTTTAAAAATAATGCATGTGCACTTTAGAAATTTTTGAAAATAAAGGTATATGAAAGAAAATTATATAGTTCTTCCCCAAAAGATAACTGTGCTTGTTAAAAGGCTGTAGAGTGTCCCCTCAGCAGTGGTGGCTAAAGGCTGTAGAGTGTCCCCTCAGCAGCGGTGGCTAAAGGCTGTAGAGTGTCCCCTCAGCAGCGGTGGCTAAAGGCTGTAGAGTGTCCCCTCAGCAGCGGTGGCCCCAGCGGACTGCTGTGACCTTCATCTTCAGTTGAGTCAGGAGCCCCAAGCACTTTCTCAGGGCATTACAATTTAGAGCTGTGTATTTATAGACACAGATCAAAAGTGTCACTTTCCAACCTCATCCTCTGTCCTCAACTGACAGCAGCCAAGAAGAATATCTGTATTGCCAACTTAGTTCCTTTGACACAGTGCAGACGCCTGGTCTCCTCACGCACACTACTCAGCATTTTAAAACCATAGACATCCTCTGCCACTCATAGCCAGAGAATTCAGTACTGTCTGAGAACCTGTTTCCACTGACCTCACAGGACCACATGATGGAGCAGCGTTTGCGCAGCAGGTGGGGTGCATCAGATGTTCTGTAAGTGACACCAACTGAATGTACCGTCTGCATATATCTTGGCTGTGTTTCCTGTGGACCTGTCTGCTTTCTTTAGGGACTTGTTCTTTTTTTATATATTAATTTTTTTCTTTTGGTTTTTGGAGAAAGAGTTATTTCTATCTGTGTAACAGCTCTGCTTGTCCTAGAACTTACTATGTAGACCAGGCTGGCCTTGAACTCACAGAAATCTACCTGCCTCTGCCTTCCAAGATGCTGGGATTAAAGGCATGCACCACCACTGCCTGGCTTGATATTAATTTCTTGAAGAGGTTTATTGGTTACTTTTCTTATTACTGTGACTATGTACATGTCAAGCAAATAAGGGAAGGAAGGTTTATATTGGTCCACTGAGGCTCAGGAGACCGCTGACACATCAGTCAGGAAACAGAAGTGTTCACGTTCTGCTTGCTTTCTTCTTAAAAAAAAAAAAAAAGTCAGTTCTTCAAGCATTGCACACATGTATTTTGATCCTGTTCACCCTACTCCTCCAGATCCGCCCCAGCTCCCCACAGCACCCCAACTTTGTGTCCTCTTTTTCTTTTTTTTTTTTTTTTTTGGTTTTTCGAGACAGGGTTTCTCTGTGTAGCTTTGCGCCTTTCCTGGGACTCACTTGGTAGCCCAGGCTGGCCTCGAACTCACAGAGATCCGCCTGGCTCTGCCTCCCGAGTGCTGGGATTAAAGGCGTGCGCCACCACCGCCCGGCTCTCTTTTTCTTTTTAAATAACCCACCAACTCCTCATTTGTGCTGCACATGTACTCCCAGGCGTGGGGCCGTCCACCGGAGCTTGGTCAACCTACGAGGAGCCACAGCCTTAAAGAAAACCGACTCCCCCGAGCCATCACCTGTCCATAGTTCCTCAGTTAGGGGTGGAAGCTCATGACCCCTTCCCACTGCATGCTGGGATGTCGAAGTCCTTGAAACCACAGCTGCTGAGTTCATGACGTCAGCGGTTCTCTTCTGTCCTGTTCAGAAGCCCGTTCTGTCCTGTTCAGAAGCCCGTTTGCACCCATCCTCCCCAGCCTCTGGCCCGTCCTCCCAGCCTCTGGCCCTTACGGTCTTCCTGTTTGCACCCGTCCTCCCCAGCCTCTGGCCCTTATGGTCTTCCCGCCTCTTCTGGGATGGCCCTGGGACCGGTTGTGACATAGCTGTCCCATTGGTGGCTGAGCTCTCCACTGACACCTGTCCCTTATACTTTGACCAGTTGTGAATTTCTGTCTTCCCCCTCCTTTATTAAATATCATGCCAGCATTAAAAAGTATCCACATTGCCGGGCGGTGGTGGCGCACGCCTTTAATCCCAGCACTCGGGAGGCAGAGCCAGGCGGATCTCTGTGAGTTCGAGGCCAGCCTGGGCTACCAAGTGAGTCCCAGGAAAGGCGCAAAGCTACACAGAGAAACCCTGTCTCGAAAAACCAAAAAAAAAAAAAAAGTATCCACATTGATACCGGGTTTAACTCTTTTAAACCAAAGAAGCATGTATTTCATTAGCATAATTTCCCTGCTTATTAGTACTAAATTTTAGCTGTTGAACACACAGGCCACACACAAGGATTTGGATTGTAACAAAACTATTTTATTCAGTATTATTATAAATATGTACAAGATTTGTTTTAAATTACCTTTGCACATAACCACATAGATTCTCAGGTATGGGTGTAACATGCATCTACCCTGTATTTAAACATTTTATAATCTCACCCCTTTGGGAATCTTCAGTATGATTTATGCAAAAGATTGAAAAAAAACATACTTTTCAATCATTATGATATACAACTTCTAGTGAGGAAATACAGGTCTCAGCCCGGCGGTGGTGGCGCATGCCTTTAATCCCAGCACTCGGGAGGCAGAGGCAGGAGGATCTCTGTGCGTTCGAGGCCAGCCTGGTCTACAAAGTGAGTTCCAGGAAAGGTGCAAAACTACACAGAGAAACCCTGTCTCGAAAAACCAGGAAAAAAAAAAAGAAAAGAAAATACAGGTCTCTGGTGGTTTGAATGAGGATGGCCCTCATAGGCTCTTAGATTTGAATGTTTGTCCCTAGTCTGTGGAACTGTTTGGGAAGGATTGGGAGGTTGTGGCCTTGTTGGAGGAGGTGTGTCACTGGAGGTAGGCTTTGGGGTTTCAGAAGCCCATGCCAGGCCCAGTCTCGTTGTCTCTCTGCCGGTAACTTGTGGATCAGATGTGAGCGCTCAGCTACTGCTCCAGTGCCATGCCTGCCTGCCTGCTGCCATGCTCCTCCCAGGGTAATCATGGGCTAACCCTCTGAAACCGTGAGCAAGCCCCCAGTTAAATGCTTCCTTTTCTAAGTTGCTTTGGTTATGGTATCTCCTCATGGCAATAGAATAAGACAAGGGTTATAAAAAAAAAATCATGTTTGGGACAAAATAAATATAAACATCTTTTATATTCTTTAATGAGAGTTTTGAGTTTCATATATGTTTTGATGATATGCACTCCCCAACCCTTCTCACCCACTCCTCCCTGTCCCTGTTTAGCTATTGAAGTCCAGGGTGCCACTTTGTTAATTGGCTAGGACAATACATAGTAGGAGTATCCAGCAGCTATGGTTAATAGTCGATACTCAGGGAACACAGAGGTTTCACCAGGCACCCTTAGCTCCTACACTGAGGAACCACTTTTGAACTGTACACTTTAACTATATCCCATCCAAGTTCCACTTGAATTTTGTGACTAGTTCAACTGAAAGAATGTAGCTGATTAAACAATAAGATAAACATGAAATCCCTGATGTGTAAATCTAAATCCAGTGTGGTAATGTAAGAAGCATGAAAACCCAGCCAGTATAACTCCTCCAAAAATTACTAATCCTATAATAATGGCATTCAGTAAAAGTGGGTTAGATGATAATCCGGATAGAACTTGGAAAAATGGCTGTAGTCGTGTTTAAAGAAGAGGAGCTTTTTTCTTTTCTTTTTTTTTTTCTTTTCTTTTTTTTTTCTTTTCTTTTTTTTTTTTTTTTTTGGAGACAGGGTCTCATTGGTCTCACTTGTAGCTCTGGTTGACTTGGAAGTCACTATGTGGACCAGGCTGACCTCAAATTTACAGAGATTCTCCTGTCTGCCTCCCAAATGTTGGTATTAAAGATGTACACACTGCTGGGCGGCAGTGGCACATGCCTTTGATCCCAGCACTCGGGAGGCAGAGCCAGGCGAATCTCTGTGAGTTCGAGGCCAGCCTGGGCTACAGAGTGAGATCCAGGACAGACACCAAAACTACACAGAGAAATCCTGTCTCTGTGATACATGACTGCCCTTTTGCTTAACCAAAATGTGTCTTCTCTGATACCTTGAGGACTCCCCTTCCCCATGGTGGATTCTTGCACTTATCTACCCACAGGCAGCAGCCCTGAGCCTTGAGTCCCCCCACTCTTCTGTCCAGGTGCTAACAGTCAATCATCTCCACAGCTGTTTTCTATCAACCCTAACCCTTCCCCATAAAAGGGACCTCAAAAGCCAGAGAGGGGCTGCTCTCCGAAAGCCCGACTTTGGGAGAGGGAGGCAGCCAGCTGGCTAGTTCTAAATACAGTTTGTTTTAATCAGGAGAAAAAAAAAGATGTACGCCCCGCCATACCTGGCAAAGGTCAGCTAGTTGAGAACACAGAGAGCCGAATGAAGTAAGGAGAATGGTACAAGATAGGAAAGCGGGATTCAGTAGAAAGGATTGCTGACGGAAACCCCTCTGAAATGCTGGGGAGAGAATAAATCAACCCCATGGAAAGTCTTAACAGAGAGTGGAGTGAAGATGGAACAGAATAGCTGATCTTGAAGATAGTAGAGGAACTGAGATAATGCACCAGGAACAAAGGGAATGTACAAGTGGGATGTCAAAACATACAGTTTTGCCTGGCGGTGGTGGCGCATGCCTTTAATCCCAGCCCTCGGGAGGCAGAGGCAGGCGGATCTCTGTGAGTTCAAGGCCAGCCTGGTCTACAGAGTGAGATCCAGGAAAGGTGCAAAACAACAGAGAGAAACCCTGTCTCGAAAAACAAAAATACACAGTTCTATAAAAGTCACACCTGTGGCTTCTGAATGCATAGGAATGAGCTCAGTTGGCGTAGAAAGCATTTTCAAAAGAACTATGACCAAGTTTCCCAGAGTTAGGGAGAAATATATCAATCCAGAGACAAGAGGCGTTTTAGACCACCAAACAGAAGAGATCACCAAGAGAACCTCTCTCCATATTAAAATTAAAACACTAAATATACAAAGCAAAAAAGTGTGTTGGGGTGACACAAGAATCAAGTCACATATAAAGACGTGTCTGTCAGAAGAAAAATAAGATACTTGCTTCTGAAGCTTCCCAGAAGGGCCTGGGAAGAAGCATTCCCGGTTCTGAAAGGTAACTGCCAACCCAGACCGCTACACCCAGCGAGGCTATTTGTCATAATTAAAGGAGGAATAAACACTTCCCATGATAAGCGTAGGCTAAAGGACTTTATCATTTTCAATGCTATCACCCTGATTTTCATCCGCCCTGCATCCCATATTCTAAGACTGTGCTAATGCTTAGGGTGGTTAACTGGCATTTTATTTTTACATATATGTTCATAAGAGATTTTATACGAACAGTTTCTAAAAAGCCCTAGTGTTTTATAGTTTTCGGTTTGGTTTGGTTTTTTGAGACAGGGTTTCTCTGTGTAGCTTTGGCTGTCCTAGAACTAGCTCTAGACCAGGCTGGCCTCAATGCACAGAGGTCCACCTACCTCTGCCCCCTGAGTGCTGGGATTAAAGGCATGCACCACTGCCTGGCTTTTAGTATTTTTCTATTTGTGATGTCTTTGTCTGGTTTTGCTATCAGGTTAAAAACAGCCTTAAAAGAATGAACTTAGAAATTATCATCCCCCCCCCCCCCCAGTGTGAGGCCCAGAGGAGGCTGAGAATAAAGGGCAGTGCAGTATGCCTGTGCCGTTTCTTCCTCCTCTTCCTTTTCTCCCCTTCCTCCTTCCTCCCCCCTCTCTCTTTTTCTTTCTCATTTTGTTGTTTTGTTTTGTTTTTGAGACAAGGTTTCTCTGTACAGCTCTGGTTGTCCTCGAACTATGTAGACCAGGACTTGCCTCAAGCTCTGAGATCTGCCTACCTCTCCTTCCCCAGTGCTAGGATTATAGGCGTGTGCCACTACCGCCCTCTTGTGACTTTTCTGTGAGTGAGTGTGTCTGTCACTGCTGCTGGGAACCTCTGCTGACTCCAGCTTCTTTGGCCTTTCAAATGTTGATTCACCAGCA